TGTCTTTAAATTCAGACTCACTTCCAGATCGTGTACACAGCTTGTAGCTGATGGGCTGGTATCTTTCCCACCATGGTCTCCATGGTGTTGTAATGATAAGGTTTTCATTTGGAGGAGAGATCTGTGAATTGAATAATATCATCCAACAACATCATAGAGCATTATTTCAGTAGCTCATTGGCTGGCTGAAAATCCTTTTTTACATAGTCCATGGAAAACAGGCAACATAGATACAACATAGGTACAACATATGGTAGAATCCTTATCTTAATTTAAAGCACTTGGGTTTCTTAAGGAATCCTTTAAAAAAAAGTTTGGAAAAGGGTGCACAAAGTCCAGTCTTTCCTTACTTTTTCCTCGTCAAGTTCATGGGTTTGCTTGAAATCAGAAACTTAAGAGTGACTAGAAATCCTATGAATTCTGTTTCAGTTAATCAAAAGCCTGTAAAACATCTTCTGGCTTCATAAGGTTATTCCTCGTGCAATCAGTTTTCCCACCTTTTCAAAATAAAATATTTATTAGAAGAAAACTGGGAGAACTAGTTTTGCAAGACTAATTCACTGCAGAAGTGAACTACACTCTGAAATTCACCTCTATTACTCTACAACAAGCACATATAATCCATTCGATGCTCAGAATATTATTTGATCATAACTGGGCAGTAGGCTTGCTTGCTCATCTGACAAAACATTGATTTCTACTGGGTGGCAATAAATTTTGAATATAAAGTGAGATTGACTGCCTTATTTTTCAATGCAAACGGCAACTTCTACTGGGTTAATAAAATAAACATGATGCATTGTACATGAAGTCTATTTTATGTCAGTTATAGCCATCTAGAAAAGTTGCCATGTCTTCATTATATATATATATTCTGAACAAAGTACTAGAGGAACATTCAGTGTATATAGTAGACCAGAACGCTAACGAATATATGCTAGACAGAATAATAAATTCGATATTACTCATTAAAATAAGTTGTTTGCTATACATTGGTTTGGGAAGTGTTTGCTATACATTGGTTTGGGAAGTGTAAATAAAATACTGGTCCAGCTTGTTATATTGCATGATGGATAATAATAATAAATCCCATTATTCTTCTATTTCTTCTGAATAATATAGGAACGTATTTACCATCAGATGGAAAGTATAACAATCAGCATCTGATGGAGTATTATCATTAGCAAAATGGTCATCAGTAAAAATTCCTTAGCTTTAATACTCTACAGTGCTTTCATTTCCACAATCCCCATTATACATGATGTAGCCATTAAAAATATATATAATAACATGGTTTTGTTTTCTTTCTGTTGTGCCAGAGTCCTTATGATTGATGAAGTACATAATTAAACAGCGGCTGAGGTGCTCAGATTGCCATATTGAAGATAAAAGTTGAATAAATCAGCAATCTGTTTGTCTGTTGATACAACAACTTTTCTACAAGTATCCAACTCACTACTTCATTTAACCAAGTTTCAGCAGCTAGTTGGAAGCTTGCAAACAAATTGCAAATTTTATGCCTAATAAATCCATTGGAACACTCACAAGTAGAGGTTAGCTTCAAACACTCAGCACAACAAAACATTAATTTATTCTACATCACAAATAGGCTGATGCAATAATTTCACTGCCGCGTCTTTACAAAAGGTTCGTTTTGGCCAGCAGTCCTTCCCAAACCAAGCTATTCTTTTGATATCCCAAAAATGCTCTCCCCCCCCCCCAAAGGCAACAGGACTTTGTTTTTTTCCTGGAGATGTTTCGCTGCTCATCCAAGAAGCTTCTTCAGCTCTGATGCCAGAGCTGAAGAAGCTTCTCGGATGGGAAGCGAAACATCTTCAAGAAAAACAAAAAACAAAATCCAGTTGCCTTTTGGAAAAAAGGCACTTTTGGGACAACCATGATCTGGATGACTGAGAATCTCCATAAACATTGCTCTTTAGATGTGCAAATTTCAACTCCCAGAATTCTCAGCAACTGCCAAACTGACTGGGAAATCCTGGAAGAGGAGTCAGCATGCTTTAGAGATGATTTAGCGATACCATGAAAAAAAAATTCCACAGACCTTCACTGTTGTTAATATTGTTGAATTTCAATTCCAATTGAATTCAATATTTTCTGGAAATTAGGGAAAGTGTGCCAAAGACATATTTTTCCCAGATGTTGCCACCAAAATCTGCCTACCTGAACACCACCGAATCCATTAGGTGCTAAGTAACGTTCACATTCAAGAGCAATATCATTCCAACGCCATTCAAAGAGGTGAACAATAGATGTCCTTCCAGGCAACGTATTTGGGTTATACTGAGCCCAACAAAGTTCCAGTCCGGCAAGGAGAATTAAAATCCACATACTGCCTTGGGTAATGGCTCTTTCTGTGCTCCAAATTGCAGTTTTCAGTACTGTATTTATATTTCTGGTACAGTTCAAAGTACACATCAGTCATGAGACTTTCAACACAATTGGCTACATTTAGCAAATTTCCATTCATCAAAGGTCACAGTTTAAACAAGAGAAACAGGTGAAGATAAAGAACCAGATTCCCTAGGGAAAAACTGTGAATGCATAAACCAAGATAAGATTCAGAGGGATTAGTCACATCCATGTCTTTGGCCAAATATATTAGATAATGTACTATCTGGTTCAAGGAGATCTACAAGTCAAGCAGGAATTAGAGGCCTCCAGCATATAATGATCTGTTCTTTGTAACACTCATTCCCCCAAATAGCAGGAAATGATACATAACTTTGCCTAGCATTAAGGCAGGGTAACAGCCCAATATATTGGCCTGCCTGAGATTAAATGGCAAAAAGTTACATCGCATCCTAGTCCAAGATATGCCATCTGAGCCAATGAAAACTCACATAACTCTCCTCTCATCCCAATAATAAAACACAGAATATAGTAAGACATAAAGTCTTGCTACTTTTCCATGACATTAAAAACTATGGGCTGAAGCAGCGGTCCTTCTCTACATAAAGGCAGGGATTTAACAGTTTGTCTTTAGCTTAACACCTCTCTTTTGAATTTTTTGGGGTATTTTGAGTTCTGTGGACCAGAATTATTCTGCATCGGGAAAATTCTGCATGAAGTGCTGTGACTACAGGTTGTCTTCGATTTACGACCACAATTGAGCCCAAAATGTATGCTGTTCAGTGAGAATTTGTTCAGTTTTGCCCCATTTTACGACTTTTCTTGACACAATTACTAAGAGAAGCATTGCAATTGGTAAGTTAGTAACCTGGTTGTTAAGTGAATCTGGCTTCCCCACTTTGTCAGAAGGTCGCAAAAGCTGATCACATGACCCCAGGACATTGCAGCAGTCGTAAGTATGAATCAGTTGCCAAGCATCTGAATTTTGATTATATGCTCGTGGGGATGCTATGAAGATTTGTGTGAAAAACAGTCATAAGTCACTTTTTTTCAGTGCCGTTGTAACTTTGAATGGTCACTAAATGAACTGTTGCAAGTCGAGAAATACCTGCATAGTGAATTGGAAGAGATGAGTTTTGTTGTTTGCTTTGGATTTTCCTTCTTATTTATCGGTCACCAGTCCTGTATGTAGCCAAAGTGAGATTGGGGATTACCACATGGAAGGATGTTTTGCTACACACAGGATTTATATTTCATTTTAATAATAATAATAATTTTTATTTTACAGTCACAGACCAAAATGCAAGTGCAACAAAAGAAAACACAAGAAAAATACAATCACAACAGTTAACACCAGAAGCCTTGGCTAAAGGGAATTACAACGTTCTCCTCTAATATTTACAGCTCTTAAAAGAAATTTAGAAACCTGAGAAGTAATATAGGAGGAGTCATCCTCTAGACAATATAAGACCAAATTACTAACATTAGAGCCAGAGGGATCAATTCCAAGGAGAGACATAACACATGCTCCACAGTTTCAACTTCAGCCCTATCACAGGGGCATAGTCGCTCACTAAACAGGAGCCTCTTGAATCGCCCGTCAAGTAGTGCTGAGGGCAAAACACTGAAGTGGGCTAGGGAAAAGACTATACTCGGGGATGTTTAGAGTATAGAAATATGAAGCCATCCTCAATCCATAATTATTAGAATGGCTGAAGATCAAAGGGGAGCAGGCTTTGTTGGCTCTGGATCTTAAATATTGCAAATCTATGTCCACAAGCCATTAGACTACCCTAAACTGGGCGTCCTTGAGACCATAATCTCCCAGAGCATCCCCTGTAAAACCTAGCAAGTGAAGTTTCTTCGTCAGCTCCCTCTCCCAACAAGAAGTATGAGAGTCAGCAAACACCAGGGAAAGGTAGCTACCAGGGACTGCTGAAACGAGCACCCGAAACCACCATTTAAAGGTGTTAATCCACACCATGCATTCGACTGAACGAATGCCCAGTTCCAGGTACATCAAAGCAAATCCAACACAAGGAGGAAGACCCAGAGGTTTGCTAAGAAAAACAGCCTGGGTTCTTTCAATACAATCCTTGAAGCCTCGAATCCATATGGGAATTCCATAAAGAGTTTGGGCCAGGGTTTTGGCTTTATATATACGCAGAGCAGAAGGAATAAACTGGCCCCCTTGAGTAAAAAAGAATCTTATAATCTGCTGGTGAATACAGGAGGCCGAATTCAGCACCTGGGTTCGATGTTTAGTCCAAGCACCAATATTTTGAAATTGAATACCTAAATACTTAAAATGGAAAATCTGCCTAACAACATTACCATTGATAGCCCAATTGTATAATTTCCGGGCTCTAGAGAACATCAATACTTTGGATTTGTCATAATTAATAGACAAATGGTTCTCAGCACAGTAGGACCCAAATGCAGAAAGTAATTTATTTATTTATTTATTTATTTATTTATTTATGAGACTTATATACCGCTTTAAGTGCAAGCACTCTCTAAGCGGTGTACACCAGTAAGCAATGTATATATATATATATATACATTGCCCCCAACAATCTGGGTCCTCATTTTACCTACCTTGGAAGGATGGAAGGCTGAGTCAACCTTGAGCCGGTGAGATTTGAACTGATGACCTGCTGAACACAGTCAGCTAAAGTGGCCTGCAGTACTGCACTCTAACTGCTGCGCCACCTCGGCTCTTTTTTAAATCTTTTTAGACCGAGCCTTGATTGTGATAGAAGGACCACATCATCAGCATAAAGAAGCGGAATCTTCATATTTGACAACTTTGGGGCATGGGACTCAATGCGTACAATGTAAGAAGCCAGGTCAGATAAGAATAAATTAAACAGAAGAGGGGCCAGGAGACAGCCCTGCCTAACTCCGCTCTCAATCGGGATAGGATTTGAAAGTTCTCCCTGCAAGCCGCACCTAACCTGGCTAGAGGTCTGATTATACAAAGATCTGATTAAGAACAAAAGATGTCTGTCAATAGAACTTTTGTGCAATTTTGACCACAACAGTTCCCTAAGGACTGAGTCAAACACTGCCTTTAAATTGATAAAAACAGTGAAGAGTTTGCCACCTAGTGTAATAGCATATTTGTCAACCAGGTGTGCTAAGACAAAACAATGGTCCAATGTGGCACAGCCCACTTTAAACCCAATCTGCTCTGCACCAATAATGTTAGACACCCAAATGAGGAGTCTACATTGAAGATATTTAGCATACAATTTCCCAATGATGGAAAGCAGGCTTATAGGGCGATAATCGGTAGGGTTGTTCCTGTTTCCTCGTTTTAAAACTGGAATAATAATTGCTAGACTCCAAGAAGTAAGAATCCTACCAGAGGAATTAATATGGGTGAAAAGTGTTGCCAAAAGAGGAATCCACCAGTCGGGATTAAATTTTAGCAAAATAGCATCGGGGCCAGGGGCTTTGCCTGACTTAAGTTCTGAGATAAGCTCAGCGATTTCAGCATGAGTCACGGGTTGCCATATAGGAATTGCAAGAGGCAGTTGTGATCCAAGCTCGGTCGAAATTATTGAAGTCTGAAAAATTGACAAACAATGATTTTCCCAATCTCTGTCAGAAATAAAGCAGAGAGGGAGTTCTTGGTAACCAGGGAGAGAGCTGGCAACAATTTGCCAAAATAGTCCGGTGTTCTTCTGCTGGATAGAAAAGTAAATCCCACTTCTCTCTCACTTTAGCCCTCTTTTTCTTAACAATTAGCCCTTTATACTCCCACTTCAGGTGATAATAGTCCTCTGGTGGACGTTTGTCCCCTCTGTTACGGTAAAGCAAGTAAGTCCAGTTAATCTGGTTCCTAAGCATCAGACATTCTTTACCAAACCAGGAATTGCTTCTTAAATGATATGGACCCCATGGCCTACAATCAGCTCCTAGCCCCCTTTGAACACTATTAATTAGTGATTCAAAGGCCAAGATTGTCTCTGAGCCACTACTTGTTAGAACCTGAAACATTCCGGAGATGATAAAAAGGAGTGGAACTTTCTTTCGGTATTAGAAGACCATTTGATCCTCTTTGTATAGAAGGCCGTATGGGGATATATTTCATTTAAAAAAAACACAATTTCCTTAAATTTGTGATACAAAACTTGGTTTGGGCAAGAAACGCTATTATCTGGGAAAAGGGGGGAAAAAGCAATTATCAGAAGCTGATAGGAAATAATCATTTCCTGCTTTTTGATCCTTTTTCCATTGATACCCACTGATTAGCAAAAGCAGCTTTCATGTCCCAGAGAAGTGACAAAAACTCTTTATCAGGTTGTTAAGGGTTTTTCATCAGCCCTCCAAAGCTTCCAAATAGTTTCCACAAATATTAGTCAAGTCCATTTTAAAGTCCAAAAGTTGCAAGTTGCAAGAGGTAAAAATTTGAGCATTCTGTTCAGAGAGGTTATTCTCATAAAAATTGCTTGTTGGGAGACAAACACTGAGGTGGAGTTACCATCTTCATACTTTGTTTGAAGGGTTTTCCAAGAGCACCCAGCTAGCAAGAATTGAGGTCCAATGTTGGAATGACTCTGCAGGGCACCTTTGTATGGACAAAGCATCCAAAGTTTATTTAACAATATTAACGGGAAGATTGAGCTATGAATAGCATTTATTTTTGAATAAATTTCCAAACAGGCTTAACAACATGTTAAGTTGGCAGATTATGCTTTCTGATAACATGAGGCAGCCAAGATGGGCTATTGCAACTATTCTGGTTTTCCTCAATCTTTCAGCAAGTATCACTATCATAGAACATATCCTTCTGAACCACCAAGAGGGAAGAAATCAAGCCAGAGACCCCTAATATGTGGGGTACTTCAGGGCTTTATATTCTTGCGCCTCTCTTTAGTTTCTATAGGAGATGCTGGATGAAGTTATCCATTAGTTTCAAGTCAGGTATCATCGGAACCCTGATACTCAGTGGTAAATCTCAACCATAGACTGAACAAGTGATGCTATCAAGATCTTATCTCAGTGACTGAAGGCTGTGTGGGTCTAGATGGAGACAACCAATTTCAATATGACTAGTGACTTGGGATTTTTGGACTACCCAGGCAGGAGAGACAGCAATTTTTATTCTGGAAGTTATTCTTCTCCCTTCAACATTGGCACGCACTTTGGGGGTTTTCACTGAAGGTCTTCCTTGCATAATTCATCGAGCTGCCAATTGTGCCCATACATGGACTAGAACAGGGGTAGGCAACCTTGGCTCTTTTATGACTCATGGACTTCAACTCCCAGAATTCCTGAGCCAAGGTTGCCTACCCCTGGTCTAGGAGGACAGTCACTCAGGTTTTGCTTGCCTTGCATTTGGACTATTGCAATGCACTCTTCATATGTCCATCTTTGAAGACCACTTCAGAAACTACAGCTGGTCCAGGACACAGTGGTAAAAAAAGTTATGGGTATGCACAATATGTCCATGGAACAAATCTTTGTAAACTGTACTACTTACCAGTAAGCTTCAGGCTGCTCTTCAAGGTATTTATAAAGCCCTTCATGGCAAAGGGCCTAATTGTTTGGGGGCCATCTATCTTCCGAAGTTTCTATTCATCCCATATAATCAGGCAATGTCACCTGGTAGGACTCAGGAAGCAAACCTTCTCAGTTGCACTGTTCATTCTTTGGAATTATACTCTCCCCCAGATACTCATATGGACTTCACTGACCATTCCAGGCCTTGGTTTAGAATGGGATGGAAAAGGATTCCTTGTAGGATAACTGTCTGTTAAAGTTTATATTATTTTATTCCACATGTTTTTGGTATTGTTTTGAATTGTATTGCTGTAAGTTGTCTTACACTGTACACCATCATGAGTTATGATGGAGTCAGCCTATACAAGTAATAAATAAAATCAACTTTATAATACACAGAGAACAGAAACCAATCAAATAGGAGAAATGTTCATCAGTATATATTACAGTCTGGCTTCAACATGAATTGCAATGAACGGATGCTTTGCTTGGTAATTAATCTGAAAACGAGCCATGCCATTAGCAGCAACATGGATTTGAATTCCTGTGCAAGTGTTGCCTTCTTTTTGTCCTGAAATGACATCACAATAAACCCCAGCAGGAAGACCAGTTGGAAGGACTACCGACAAGTTCCTGTACAATAAAAGATAATTTTATTCTTTTATTTATATTGAGAAAATGATATGCCACCCATTGCTATGAATGTCTTCTAAAATGTATAATAAAAATAGTTATGCATCAAATCAAGAAATATAGAACATTAAAATACTAAAACATTAACCAGCCTGGGTAAATAAGAATGTTTTCAGCTCATTTCCAAATTGTTAATAGGGAGGGGCCTTGTTTCACCTTCAGTGACCATGTGGTTTCATAATTTGGAGAAAAGTTAAAAAGCAGAATTACATCAATTCATGGCAAAATCAGCAACAGATATACATCCCTTTTTAGACTGGACATACAAGAACAGAAAATCTGTAAGTAACTGACTTCTGAAGGAAGAAATGGCAGACTGAAAATTGTTGTGAAGAATGAAAAGCTGGCAACTAGGCTGGCTCTTTGAACCTCTCTGGACAAGGAGATTACTTGAGAGTACCCACATGTGCTCCAGATAGCTGCCCCTCACAAAGAGATGGAAGATAGTCATTTCCTGAGGGTTTAGAGCTCTGGGAGACAAGATAAACCTTATTTGGTGCCTTTGAAAAGACTCTTAAATTTGCATATTTCTTTTTCTAATCACTTTTAGAAATTGCTCGTTAACTGCTTTTCTGCTATCAAAAACCTTTCGGTCGACAAATTTGGCAGCCCTGGGTGAGTTTTTATTTAAATTCTTATTGGAATATATAGCAAAAAGGTGAGTATAACCTTAGTTTTAGGAAGTTACAAATGGATTAATGGTCCAGTTTAAATTTAAAATAAGATTTTGAAATTAATTATAAATTAATTATTCATTAATTGGATTTTTTTAAAGAACAAGATAAGATTTTAAAAATTGTACTACAGAGAAAACTAGATATTACAATCCCAAAGATGTTTTTTCACAAGGCAACTGGACTTCCTTTTTTTTTTCCCTTTGAAGACGTTTCACTTCTCATCCAAGAAGCTTCTTCAGCTCTGCTTCTTGGATGAGAAGTGAAACGTCTTCAAAGGAAAAACAAGAAAGTCCAGTTTCCTTGTGAAAAAGCATCTTTGGGACAACTATGACTTGGATGACTGAAAATCTCCATAGACATTTAGATATTACAATGACAACATAAATATGATTTACAATTACAGAATGAAGCAAAATATTTTAACATTGGACATATTAAAGGACATTTTTGGAAAATGGTCTCAGAAGTTAATATTAATAGTGTCAACACAGACATCTGTACCTCTATGTGTCTAAAAGTGTATTGTTAGACTATGTCTAAAAGATGTTATACCTGCCAAGATTGAGTTTAAAGTGGATTTATAAATGACAGGCTACACTTGAATGTACAGAAAGACATGGAAAACGTTGTTATACTGGACATACCAAAGAAATTGTGTCTGTTTTAATAATTAAAAGGGATATACAAACAATAAACCAAAAGAATGACCTGGATAATTTTCCTATATTGGACTTACAAAAGAGGTTTGTTTAAAGTTGTGAACAATCTCATGAGAAGGGACAAAGAATGAAATAAAAATCAAGTTCTGCAACATTATTTAAATGGAATAAAGATTAAGACTGATGGGAATAAAAGGAAAGAATATAAAAACTGGTTTATTTGATCAAGGGTCATAAAGATTTGTTGTCATTTCTGTTACTCGGAATGGACTTTTGCCGACACCAGGACTGAAATGAGTATGCTTTATGGATTCATTTATAGATAAAAAGATGGGATATGGGAAGAAGAGACTATTTGTTGTATTTTAAGAGGAGTTGACAAGTTACTAAAATTGTTGATAGCTATTGTGATAAAGGTTGGAAATGACATAGATTTATTCTTCTTTATTAGTTTTCATTCTTTTTTCTTTCCTTTTTCTCTTCTCCGCCTTCTATTTTGCTTTCTACTCTTCTACCTTTGTTTAGGCTTACATTTGTTTTTATTGTTACAATTACAACCTTTAACAAAATTACTATATTGATGGATGCTGAAAGTCTGTAAGCAACCCAGGTACAAATCATTTATGCTTTCTAAACTAACATATGTTGTAATGACCTTAGAAAGCAACCAGCCATTTGTGAAGCTGTTCCAACACAAACAACGCTCACCGATTGCACTGCCAATTTCTGGGCGAACAGAATTTCTTGGACTGTCTTCCATACCATTTTCACCAAAAATTTCCATAACAATAATTGAAGCTGCCTATGTCTAAGTCTCCAAAGACAGGCCTCTCTTCTCCAGGTAGGGATACACCTCATTTACCAGATAAAATAAATAAAAGGGCTTCTTTACTTTCAATTTTATACAGTTTTTGAATATGATCAATATTCAAGGCTGCCTTATGTTCAATCCTACCCATAACAAGCACATCTCTCAAAGACTTGCCATATGCTAAGTAAATAAATAAAAGCCCAAATTACCTTCTATTTCTCTCAAAGTAACTCCCAAATATTGTCTTATTTATGTGCTCTGACATATGGGTTCTATATACGTACTACTTTCCCTCTAGTTCACCTACTTTCGTCAATACGTTTAAATGCAAGCATATGTCATATGACAACTTAGCTTGCTAGAATCAATAACACATGGGCCTGAAAATGGCACACGTAAGATGTTATATGATTCTCGGGAAAGTCACAGCTGCTTTAAAAAGTAGTAAGACAGGTGCTATGCTCACATGCTGAAGCTCTTTTCTGGAATTAAATCCATAGTATTGTGTGATGACCCAGGGCACAGCACAGAGGCAATGCAATCAGCTGGCAATTCAAACCACCCTTTAATTGCTCCAAATTTCCCCAAATACTCCATTTCTGGCAAGCCTCCAAACAAAGGAAGATACACATACCTTCAGCTGCCTCTGGCTGCAAGTAGTTTCACATACAGTCTGATTAGGAGAGGAATTTACTCAAGGCCACAGAGATAAGAAGGAATGACACATACATCATAAACCTAGCGAGTCTGTGTGAATACACGCTTGCCTCAGCAGTTTCCAAAAGGGAAGCTAAAATACAGTCTGAGATCTTTGAACATCCAAGCAATGTTGTTAGCCAGTCCAATGGTCAGAGTTTCCGGGTTTCCAAGCAGAAGTCACAGAACAAGAGATCAGCAACAACACACACAAAACTCCAAGGAATCAGCATTTGTTCCCAACAAATGCCTCTCCCCACAGCGTCTCCTTAAAATCTCAGTCTCCAGGTGTGCCTTGTGGAGAGGGGTGGGACGCTCTCCTCCTGAATAGTTGAACCTGCCTACGTTGTTCCCTCCTTCTCTCCACTTTCTGTGCTCTAGGATCAGGTGGGGGTGACCCTTGCTCATCACCTGAACTCTGTCTCTCCTGTTCCTCCTGTCCCAATCCTGAAGGGCCCTGGCCTGCCTCTGCCTGCTCTTCCCCATATTCTTCTGAAACCACAGACACCTCTCTCTTGACCTCCATAGGGTCCTGTTCCAGCTCATTTTCCTCCACAGATTCAGACGGAGGTATGACATATTGTGTACAACTGAAGTAGAAATCACCTTAGTGTAATAGCATAGCTTAGAATGCCGAACTACTATTCCAAGCAGCTTCAGCCAGGCAGGACAGTGGTAAGAGAAATGGGCATATTCAAACTTAAACTTTTGTTTCAAATACTGCAGGCATTGAAAAAAATGCCTCCACATTTGATGCGGAATGTCAATTAAGTCTAATATTTTGAGTAAAGTGGTTTCTGTACATGTAGAATACCAGCAAAGAGACCAAAAAGTGTCTGGTTGGTCCAACCTGATAAGTATAGTGGGAGTGTCTCTTTCACAACTCTGCTTTGGTGAAATAATTTACTCAAATAATCTTCTGATCAAATCATCCCATTGAAACTGATAAAATCATCCCAACCGTAGTACTTACACAACATGTGGATGAATACAAATTCCCTTCTCCCACTTGCTATCAACACTATGAAGGGGTTTTTTTTAGACAGAGATAGATGAGAAACAGTGGCAAGTTATCACAAATACATTGTCAAGCTTGTCTGAATTGCAATTTCTGCAATTTCAATTCTATCAACAATATGTTTGGAACTGAAAGAGCACACTTGATACTACACTGAATGGAGCTTCCTTGAAAATTTCCACTACTGTTGATTTATATCTGCAAAGAATTGGGGGTGTTTTTTGGAATGGAGGACAATCTAAATCAAGTTCAGGATTCTATAACCCAGGTGATATGGATAAATACGTAGCTTTTCCCTTAACATTCAAAGACTAACATTGGAATGCTTTTAAATACTAAGTAGTTTATTTAGGTTTTTAACTTGATTTAGCAGCAGAATAGGAAAATGTAAACAATTCTGATGCAACAGAAGGTGATAGCATGTAAAGATTTTGCCTAGCCTTGGGAAAAAACTAAACAAGGTTTAATGCTGGTGGTTTTGCCAGAAGATTGATGAGGACAAGTTGGATAGTGGTTTATACCATATCTCTTAAGTGCATGGTATAGAGAGATCTATATTCCCATGTAATGGTTGAACAAGTAATGTGGAATTAAGCAAGCATTTACTTTATTTATGCTTCGATCATACTTTGTTTCACCCTGTCCTTGGTAGGACACCTGTGTAAAGTAGGATGATCTTTCTCATTGCCAATGCAAAAACCTTGGGAAACAAATATTCTTTAATGTTAAGATGGTCTAACACAGGGATAGGCAACCCAAAACACTTAAAGAGCCACTTGGATCCGTTTCCCACCAAAAACAAAACACTGGGAGCCGCAAAACCATTTTGATATCTAAAATGAAGATAACACTGCATATATCCTTTTTTACCTTTATTATAGGTGTGTGTGTGTTTGTGTGTGTGTGTGTGTATGTATGTGTGTGTGTGTATATATATATATATATATGTATATGTATATGTATGTATATATATATACATACATACATACACACACACACACACAGGTAAAAAAAGGATATATGCAGTGTTATCTTCATTTTAGATGTCAAAAGGGTCTCTCTCTCTCTCTCTCCCTCTCTATCTGCCCTTGGTCTGCCACTCCTCTTCCCCCGCTCTCTTTCTTTCTCTCTCTCTCTTTCTTCTCTCTCTCTCTCTCTTTCTCTCTCTCTCTTTCTCCCCCCCTCTCCTATCTGCTGCTCACCTGACAAGCTTCAGGCTGTTGTCCAACAAGATCAGGGGTAGGCAACCTCGTCTCTTTTATGACTCATGGACTTCAACTCCCAGAATTCCTGAGCCAGTCTAGCTGGGCTAGCTAGCTCTCTCCTGCCCTTCCTGCTTCCTGCAGAGACGCAGCAAAGAGAAGAGCTCCGCCCAGGAAGCTTTTCAGCTCCTCGGAGAACACTGTGAGTGCACTCTCTTTTTTTTATAGACACACACACACACACACACACAGAGAGAGAGAGAGAGAGAGAGAGAGAGAGAGAGAGAGAGAGAGAGAGAGAGAAGCAGGGAAGCGCAATTCCTCTCTCTGTCTCTGTCTCTCTCTGCAAAGGCAGAGGAGGCTGGGAGCCGCATGGGAAGTCTCAAAGAGCTGCATGCGGCTCCGGAGCCGCAGGTTGCCGACCTGTGGTCTAACATAAGCAAATATTCCTTAACCCTGAGGGTCTCATTTTTGGCAGAAAGCACTCCAAGTATAAGATAAGCTAACTTGTCATTGGGATGAGTAATGTGAATAAAGGTGGTTAGTGCAGCAATAGCCTGGTGCACATTGCAGCAGCCATCCTAAGCCCTGTCACATTTGCGCTGTGCCATACTGGCCCCTTACACATCCTCCCCCATCTGACAGCAGCCATTTCCCTGGCCACTGGCCTGCTTATAAGCTGCCTTGGACTTGCAGCTTTCTGCCCGGTTCCCTAGACTTTTCTTGTTGGCAGCAAGTTCTGAGGAGGTCCATGCTTAATAACCCATATTCCTTGCTTAATGACAAGAGTGCTGGGATTGCCATTGCTAAGCCATGTGGTCACGTGATGTGCTTTATGATAGCATTGCTTGGTGATGGAAATTCTGGTTAACCAAGGACTACCTGTACATATGTCGTCACCAGGAGTTGGCTCATTATGAATCTTTATTTTTAATCAATCTGATGCCATCCAGAAGTTCTGGAGTATAACTCCTCTCTCTTGACACTGCTATGCTGGTTGGGGATGTTGGAAGATATTCTGGAGCAGACCAGACTGTCTTGTCTCTAGAATGATGGTTTATAGTAACAAACTATAATGGCATCTCAATAACAGCATTGATATCTGACCCTCAAGAAGAACATATTATTTAATCCCCAAAACTGTTCAACAAATGAATTCTACTCTTATCTGTATTCCTTACAATATTTTTGGGTATATAATGATTGGAGGGTCATAGAGCACAGAGCATATAAGGAACGGCTGCTGGAATTGGGTATGTCTAGTTTAATAAAGAGAAGGACAAGGGGGGATAGGATAGCAGCATTCCAATATCTCAGGGGCTGCCACAAAGAACAGGGAGTCAAGCTATTCTCCAAAGCGCCTGAAGGCAGGACAAGAAGCAACAGGTGGAAACTAACCAAAGAGAGAAGCAACCTAGAACTAAGGAAAAACTTCCTGACAATTAGAACAATTAACCAGTGGAACAACCTGCCTCCAGAAGCGGTGAATGCTCCAACACTGGAGGTTTTTAAGAAGAGACTGGACAGCCATTTGTCCAAAATGGTATAGGGTTTCCTGCCTGAGCAGGGGGTTGGACTAGATGACCTCCAAGGTCCCTTCCAACTTTGCTGCTATTATTATTATTATTATTATTATTATTATTATTGAAGCTCTGTTAAAAACCTAGCATGGAATGCTGAAAAGCTAAAATGCATCTGCCCAGTGACTCCTACAAAATGTCAAGAGATGGAGTATCAGAAAACCCAGTATGAATGACTGATGATGACATCCAGTGTTTTGACAGACATTCAACTCCTTTTCAGTATGACCAATCATGCAGTAGAAAAGCAGCAAATTGGAACTAAACAATTAATTAGCTTTGATCCAAAGATGCAACCCAAATGATTTTGTCCTACTACACAGTGCATAGAAATCCAAGCCCCTTTCAATTCTTAAATAAGCATACCTGTCATCATTGTTAAACACAACAAATCCTTTGCCAGCACGTCCAAATGCTGCCTGATTGTTATTGTTGTCCCACCAGTTTGTAATTGGCTCCCCATAGACAACATTTCGGAATATCACCATGTTCCTGAAATGAGGAAAAAATGGATCAGTGTAAGGAATGTACACATCTTTTCACAACCTGGTAACTCTAGAAAGTACTGGAAGATTATCTTGATAGAGTGATGCAAGATCACTTGCTAGGGCAGCCAGGAATAAAAATATTTTAAATTCACAACAGATAGATAATGTTAAGCTCAGAGAGACACCTCCCTAATTCAATGAAGAATAAGGAGGAGGAAGAATTACAGCACAATCAGATTTGCAAGATTCTGAAATTAGAGCCAATCTTAATAAAAGTAATTTTTACTGTTGTCTGGACTACCTAATGGGGCTGACATTAATTTGATAAATCTGTTTATGTAAGAAAAGGTGCAACATATAATTCAGTGAATTTTGGAGGTCTGAGCTACTTCCAAATGTTATGTCTGTTGTGGACTTAAATATGTTTTACCATTGCCATGTTGACAACTGATCTTGCATATCTTTCTGCAGTGACTTTTGGATACACTCCTATTACTCTGAAGTCCACAGATTATGGGAATTATAACTCAAACCATCTGTACAGCATTTTGTAGGGAAAGACATATTTAAAATCCATTTACCTAGGGAAAAAAATTGGGTTATTTGAACCCTACACACACGGAAGAGCAAATTTACTCTCAAGAAGGCTCTCTATAAGGTAGCATTGAAAGCATTTACCGAATTTCATCCCAACGGTGCTCACAGATCCAGCCATTGCCACAAGTTTCATTTGCATAAATTGTCACAGGTTTAATGGATCCATCACTATTGCTTGGTGGTCCAACCCAATCTTTCAAGTCCTTGTTTAAAAAAGTGGCATACCATTACTAAAACCATAAGAAGCAAGATATGAACATGCTAAATAAATGCCTTCATTCCTTTATATTATCTGGCTTTTAAACATTTCTAGGAGCAGCAGTCCTAGACTCTGGAAAGTTAACAAGGTTCTTATTATAATTTATGCAAGAATTTGAGAATCAGTGAAACTTAAACAAACAAACAAAAAAACCTAAACTGGCACTGCAAACGCCAGTTAAGCTCAAATACTTGCAAAAGTTAATTTTCCCTGCCATATGCGAATGTTTCTGTGCAAATATTTTTAAAGCAAAATTATGCCATTCATATTCTGCATGAGCTAAAATCTAAATAGTCGCTCATCAAAACATCCTCCCAGCTGTTTAAAGATGAATACAAACAAAATAAATGGACAAAAATATAAAATATAATGATTAAAATGCTGCAGTAAAACTAACACTAGTAGAGAAAGGAAAACATCAATTTCAATCTGTTTTCAAAGTGATGGGACTATCTTTTAAGATACAGTGGGTTACAGATAAAATGAAAACATTTTAAAAAATCAATTTTTGTGTGTGAAGCAACAAAAAGTTACCGTTCCATTCTGGATATCTCTAGGCCACCAGTAGCTTGACATGATTCGTGTGAATCCATAGGGATGAGCAAGCATAAACCCTACTGCCATCTTATAAAGTCTATTAAAAAGTTAAAATAAGAATTCTGGTTTAAATGTGTTTTCAGACACAGAAATGAACAAACATAGAATAGATAACTTGAAATGTTGAAAACAGGTGACAGGCACTCTCACAAAATGGCTCCAGTCATGGGTGTGAGCACTCAGCTTATCAAAAAATAAACTGATAGGTTTGCTCCTTATTATCTCCCCCCCACACCCAATGTTCCCAACAATCATAGCTTATTTTTATCTGGTTTCCTGGGCAAGTGAGCTCATTTCCAAATAAAGCATCTCCCTGTAGCCCCCAATGTTTATAGGTAATCTGCACTTAATGACCAGTCACTGTAAGAAATTACAATAGGCCCACATTTATGGCCACATGACTGCAATTTGCAACTTTTTTTTTTTACAGAAACTGGCATTAACTTCCAGTTTCCTGCAAAAAAAAACCAAACACCCATTGCAAATAAAGGGTTCATTTAACAACTGCCACATTCAGTTAATAACCCCTGCATTTGCTTAACAACCACTTCAAACAAAATGTTGTAAAATCAGATCAGCACGTGATGACTCGCTTAATGGCTGACATGACTTAACAACCATAATTCCTGGCTCAACTGTGGTGGTAAGTTTAGAGAGCACATCTACGGCACTCTCTAAAAATGCTTATGTAGATCCCAGAGATATTTCTGTAAAGATGATGATGGAAGACCAAGCTTTCTTTTGTAGCATGAGAACTTTCCATTTATAGAGATGCAGGTGGAAAAGTCTTAGTCTACACTTGGTAGATGCGATCACCATTACCACCATCTTTAGTACCAACTCACTCTTCAGTTCAGAAAACAGGAACACGTCTATACTGCAAAGATTTTCCAGTGGTATATTATATCTAGGATGAAATTCTGCCCATAATTTCCTGAGATAACACCCAACTGAATACAATGTGATCTATTGTCATATAAATATGTTCATTAAAATGGGGGGGGGAATGTACATTCCATGTTTATTTTTAGGCTGCTAAGGGCTGCAGCAGCAAATCAATGAATTCCTGAGCTTGTTCATACAAAAGAATACATGTGATAAAAGTATGCATTAAAATTTTTGAATGTAATTAATTTATGGGACCGCTTTGGGGGGGAAGATTTTTTAAAAAAAGAAATTGGATAGGTTACAATTTGGCCACAAATTTGATTCTGGAACACAGAATCAAAATTCAAAGAGCAAATACCTCTAATTCAGTAGCCATCCAGTTATGGAAACTAAACATTTTAGGTCTTGCCTCTGCCAATGTGGAGAAAATCTTTCATATCTAGTCTTAAATGACGATTTTCAATTTGTCAATGAGATCTGCTCAAATTTCACTTGGGACATGAGAAAACCACCAATTTCAAAATCAAAGGACACAAAAGAAATTCAAGACTGCTTCTGAAGCTATGCAATTTTTTTTTAAAAAAAATCTTGACTGTAGATTACAACAAAGCACTTCATGCAAACATATGCAAATAATAACCAGATTTACTGAAAATAAAGTATGGTTACTCGTCTAACAGAAAGCAGGTATATTGTGTATGACACTATCTCCTCTCTAAAATAATATGTCTTCCCTTTTCAGAAATAATGGGACAATCACATATGTTTCTCAATGTATCCCAACTTTGCTTAAGCTGGTTCCAGGGAGATCTAAAAAGCATCTTTTTCACTGGCTTCTCTTCACTGAATTGCTTAAGTCAGCTTTTGGGGTAGAAATATCTACAACTAAATATCTACAACTGGAACTCTAAATGGTATTAATTTGTAAATTACTAGTGGGGAGACTTTTTAAACTTCTGATGGGATGGAATGATTTGGGTTTGAAATTTAATTTGCAACTACAAATTATAAACTCTTTTAAAAAATAGGGACAGGGTTACCTAGGGTTCCAAAAAGTGAGAATGGAGGACCCACCACTTCCATGTCCCCTTTGGTTGTCATGATTATCAACAAAGACGAAGGCTTTATCAGATGGCATCATATGCCAGCTTTCTCCCCAGCTCCTAAATCAGGAAGAAATAAGCATGTATTTGCAAGACATTTCAAAATAGGCCAGTTTAGGAGGATATGATTCACCCCTTCCAATTTGAGAAGCGCAGTTGCCAAGCTTTGCATCAAAAGTGACTGCACCATATTTTATTTTATTATTATTATTTTTGGGGGAGGCATAAAGGTATCTGAACCCTCCTCCTGCACCTGGATCCCAATCTGGTCCTGGTTAATATAAAAAAAATAATTACTTCAAATTTGCCATCTTTTGTCCATTCCATTTCCGAAGGACAATCCCCAGCTGCATGCCATATTTAAATTCAGTCACTCGGCCATTTCTGAAGTATTCAGAGCTTTGGACAGCTTCACCACCCAAATCAATTACCTGGAAAAAGTCAAGAAAAGGTAGAGAAGGAACAAAGGAAAGGATTCCTAAAGAAAGCACATCTGGCAAGGTGATCGCTTCCTATTGTACTGTGTATTGACTCATTCTCAAAAGCAGCTGCAATTATACCTCTTCTCATACAAACTTTCACGCACTTTGGAAGTCGTTCTGAAATGTCTCACCACTAAGAAAGGAACATAGATAGAGAATGTTATGATGTTTCTGCTGCATCATCTTGAATGTGGAGACCTTTTACCAACAAAACTAGATTGATCTCTGCACTTTTAGGCAAGATGCTTGAAACTCATCAGTAGTAGATTCTTAAACGGAAGAATCAGCATTCTGAAATAACACATAGGTATCTTGTTATATTTACTTAATCACATCTTGTTCTATTAATTTCAACTCATCGTCATCATTAATAAATTCAAAAGTGCTTTCTTCTACGTTTTGGCTCTTGTCCTTTTGAAATTCTACCTTTTTGTAAACAATGTAAATACCTCAAGGTTTAAACTCGACAAACCTTCAAATTTCCATTGTCTTAGCTAAATTAAGTTTCTCCTCAAATCGATTAATTTTTAAATTTTTAATTTGGAAAGGCTTGTTAAATCCAGAGCCTAGATTTTACACAAATGCCAACAAGCACATTAGATCTTCTAGTCATTTAAGTTAATGCCTTAGAGTTGATCTTTAAAGAATTGCTTTTCTGAAACAGACCAAAAGTCTATTGGATCTTAAGGTCACTAGAGCTACGATCTGATATGAAATGAAGCTTAATACTGAGCAGGGACATATTGTATTAGAGTAGATCCTTTTTTTGTGAGCTCCTGAGAATCCTACAATTCTGAGCTGCTGACAATCGACGGGCAGACAGACAGAGCGAGCAGAATTGTTGACCTTTGGCAAATTACTCTTCCTAAGTCCCCCAGTCCACAAATTGTAAGATAGCTCATTTGAAGCACATGAACATTGAAGAACAATGGACAAATGCTGGGAACTTTCCTTTTATTATTATTATTTACCTCTTGATAGATGAAAGGTCGTGAACCTTTGGTGAACCATCGGGCATTGAGGTTATTTAGTTTGCTTAAAATAACATTGATGTCCTCGGGCCTTATGTGCTTAGCAGCATCAATTCGGAACCCTGCAACGCCAAGGTCAATCAGGTGGTTCAAGAAGTCTATTATTTTTGAACGCACCTCGTCTTTCCACTGGGAAAGGTCAAGGAGCCCATAAAGTCGACAGTAACGAACCTATACGTATGGGGGAAATGATTACTACAACCACACAAAACAAAACAAAACAAAATCAATGTGACTTGGGAAAATGTTGAAAGAGTAAAAGAATTAAAGCTTTAAGCATCTCTCCATAACCAGATATATGATTCAAACCTCAATCACTGCAAGAATGTTCTGGGATGCTGAAAATCCAATGAGACTTGTCCGTATTGTCCATGGAGATTCTCAGTCATCCAGGTCATGGTTATCTCAAAGGTGCTTTTTCAAAAGGCAACTGGACTATGGTTTTGTTTGTTTGTTTGTTTTTGAGGAAGAAGACATTTGGCTTCTTATCCAAGAAGTTTCATCAGTTCTGACTGATGAAGCTTCTTGGATGAGAAGCAAAACATCTTCTTCCTCAAACAGAAGACACAGTCCAGCTACCTTTTGAAAAAAAAAAAAAACACCTTTGAGACTTGTCCTTATTGTTTTCAAGCATTTACAACACAGCTCTCTACTAGAATAAAAGCTGCTTGATTTTTCCGAGTCCTACTTTTTGAAAGTACAATTTTACTTGGTTGCTTTTTGAGTTTGATTTTTATCCTGCAGTGAACATAATTAATATTCTTTTTCCTCCCACAACAGCAACCCTGTGAAGTGGTTTGGGCTGAGAGAGAGAGAGAGAGAGAGAGAAAGACAGAGAGACAGACAGACAGACAGACACAGACTTGCCCAAGGTCACCCTGCTGGCTTTCATGGAAAAGGTGGGATTTGAACTCATGCTCTCTTGGTTTCCAGCCTGATGCCTTAACCACTAGACCAGGGGTAGGCAACCTTGGCTCTTTTATGACTCGTGGACTTCAACTCCCAGAATTCCTGAGCCAGCCATGCTGAGCCATTCCTGAGCCAGCCACGAGTCATAAAACAGCCAAGGTTGCCTACCCCTGCACTAGACCAAATTGGCTCTCATATATCATATATTCAATAGGTATGCTTTGTTAATGCTATATTCTATGAATTTATTTACTGAATAAAGGGTGTGTTCATCTTCAGAAATCTTTTTATTCACACAACCATTCCGATCACAACAAGGAGTTCAGATACATCCACAAGACTGGTTACATTAGATGATATCGGACAATCAAAAATCCTCCTTTGATTTTTGTTTTAACAAATCCAATCTTATATTGATATCTCTCATTCAATATCCACATATGTCTAAAAAGATGCAGGAGTTTTGCAAAGTCACTGCTGCGTACCACAAAAATTGTCTTTTATGCATTCTATGAAGCAGCCAACAGATTTGACTAATTGTTTGCCATCGACAAGCTCAATTGCCTTAAGAGTGCTCTTTCTCCCCTCCAGCAAATACAGATACCGTATAATACTCACAAACTTATGCTCGATTTGGATTTTCATCTTCAAGAGCAATTAAGGTTTTGCTTCTAAAATGGAAAACTGCATTTATCTATAGTAAACCACCACTTGTAATAATAAAACCTATACCACCACAAAACACATCAATATGGGAAAGTCTACCTGAATAGGATCACTGTAGTTTTCAATATCCCCACTGGGTGTTTTACATATTGGATCATTAAAATCAAATCTCGAATACGGGACAGAAGGAAAATCGTGGCGTTCTGCATTGAAATAGCTCTTACAGATTCCATGGTTACCGGATCCAGCTGCTGAATTGAGCATATGGTTGAATACAGCATCCACGTAAATATGGACCTTTTAAAGATACAAGCAAAGTATATATAACGTCACTTCATCTTAGCCGTGTCTTTTTTTTTCTTTTAACACAAGGTCTTTCCTTATACACAAAGCATTCACAGACTCAACTAAAATGCTTGCATTTGAAAATGACCAAGCCTTAGTAAGGAAAAACTTGTTCAAAATATAAAAACAGTTACATTTTACCTAGAACACAATCGTCTTTTCTATTTTCTGTTGTTCCTGTTGCACTCTTCCATCTAAAACATTCTTCAGCCACTAATAATCAGCTATCAGCACACTAAGGGTTACATATGCACATAGTCTGGTATTGCTAACATAAGCTTTCTGCTGAAGCTAGGAACATCAACTTTGCCCAAGGCAAGAGACAAATCCAGGACTTTTCATCTTCATGTTCACAGAAATGGGAGAAAATGAGTATTAGGCCTTTGTTAGTTTCATCCATGATGTTTAAATATAATCTAATACTTGCAACTTCTCTCAATAACTCATTAATTCAATCTGCAATATCCATCTTCACGTTTAGTCTAAGTGGTTGACTGCAGAACCTTAATATTCTTAAACTTATATATTTTTCTCGGTCATCCCTGGTTGCTGTATTTAAAAAAAATGTCCCAAAAAATTCAGAATCTTGAACATTCTTTGGGGGCATCTGGGCTAGTTTTAATAACACATTAAAGGATTTCTTTTTCTTTTTGATTTGCTTCTGTATAAGGAATTAGCTGGTTCATGCTTTGGTCTACAAATTTTTCTACAGAACTATTTAAAATTAGTACTTGCCAGATTCAGAGGATTATTTTTTTTTAAATGCAATTCCCACTTTTTGCAAACTGTGTCCCACTTCAAATGTTGGTACAGGAGATACTTTTCCCATTTTGAATCAACGCCACTCCAAAAATGCATATATAAATGAAACAAATAAGGAGGCAAAACATAAATCTGGGCGTCCCATTCTTTCAGGAGGTAAATCAAAAGGAAACATAATTTCTTATGCTAATGTAGTTCCTCTATATTACTAGAGCAGCATATTATAAAATTACAAATATGTATTTGCTACCCCATTATGGGGCCATCCACACTTCTTTTCCCCGCCTTGAACACATCCTAATTAACATTTGCTGAGGTCATATTCTGACACCAAAGCCTCCATCTTATTCTCAGCCTATTGCTCAGGTATTCCAACAGAAAAGTGGTGTTTTTCCAAGATATCACAGCACAAGATCTGTGCATGTGCTCTCAATCTTGTCGGCAAGAGTAACTTGCTGGATTTTAACTGGTTGGCTGCAGAGCCCCACACTTACATCTAGGCTCCATGCCTCTATGGCCATTTCTGTTGTGGCTACCATAGAGACTGGAGTACTCTCTTCCATTCCATTTTCTTTTAAGTCAGTGTTTCTCAACCTTGACAATTTTAAGGCAGGTGGACTTCAACTCCCAGAATTCCACAGCCAGCAATGCCTTAAAATTGTCAAGGTTGAGAAACACTGTTTTAGGTGGTTTGGTCAGATCAGCAATGTAACAGAAAACAAAGTGTAGTCTTCCACTAGATTTCCCATGGTAGGTTTTCCACCTCTCCATACCGAATGTGGGAGAGGTGACCAACCATTTTGTTCCTAATCTCTGGTTTTACAAAATAAAATATTGCATAGGTTGCACATTTCAGAGGAGGGAATACATATTATTTTAAAAAAATAATGTTGACATGTTCACCTCAATTGCTCACTGAACAGAGAGGTGATTTCTATAGCTGCCTCTCTTCCTATGGCCTTTTGCCAGCAAAAGCTTAACAAAGGAACTTAACAGGCACGGCATGGCTGCAGTCACTTTTCCGATTAAGATACCAATGCCTTACCCACCACATTCTTCTCTATCTGCCAGCTTCCCTCTTCCCCACGGCATTTTTTAGAACATTATTTCCCTTTTATCTCAAGGATTGAAAGAAAACACATCCATGTGGCTGGGGAATGAGCCCTATGCCAATGTCTGACTCAAATCTTCATTTCTTTCAGGACAATATGCAGAATGACATGATTGTCTTTACTCAAGAGAATACAGAGTTGCACCTAGTTGCAATTTAGTAGTGATTTTTAGTGTTAGCATTACATTGGCCACAAAGATAATATATGTCAAAATGACATTTGGATAAAACTGATGCTTGACATAAAAAATACTAAGCCAGCAAAGTCTGAGAACGTTCTTATATAATATGGAATGCTAATAAAATGAGGATTGAAAACACACATATAAACAGTGCAACTGATGAAGACGTTTTGGTGACAAGCACCCTTGGAAATTGACTCAGCTGATGGGTCTTTTTTAGACTAAGTCCTCCTGCAACTTTCAGACAAATCCAGACTGTACGAAATTGTTTCTATGATTATAAAAAATATTTCATAGCAAAAATGATTCTATTTAATTTTTCTCCAAGGAAATTTGAGGAATTCAAATGTTTTATTATATAGAATCAATTCTATCTAATAAGAACTTTGGATCTAGAAAATTGGACAAATATAAGACACCATTAAAAAACTTCCACTTAGGATTGCCTTTGACCTCACATCTCCTGTTCCCCTCAATTAACCCTAAGGTAGTGAAGGCCACTTACTCCAACATTGTTGCATCTAGTCACCATATCTCTGAACTCGCTTTCATTTCCAGAGCGTGAACATAACTTATAACTAACTGGCTGGTATCTCTCCCACCATGGTCTCCAAGGATTCATAATTACAAGGTTTTCATTTGGAGGAGAAACCTAGATATTCAGAAAGAAAATGAGCAGCTAAAGAACAAATATTATATTATTATTCAATTTTATTAATCTTATCTGCTCCAACCAATACATAGCTTAAACAAGAATATTAGGACGAATATGAAAGTAACAATAACAATGGTCAATTAAAGGTATACAAAGCATTTCAAGCTTGAACTGCTTCAAGCTTCAAATTGGCTGGTTCAATTTAACTGGAAGTGTTTTAATCCAAAAGAAGACTCTTTGAGCTTCAAGTAGAATCTAATATAAAGTCAACTGTTTCAGAATAAACCATTTCTATAAAAATTGAAAATGAGATTGAAATATCTGTTTTGAACTCAACATTGATTTAATCTTGAAAACGTTTAAATCTGAAATATTTTGCACTCCTCACTATACAACTTTGTAATAATATTAAGGATTACCATTATCCAGATACGAATCTGGACCCAGGAAAAGCAGCAGAAGAGAGACAAAAACAAAATATTCTTCTGCCTTCTTCCCAAGAGCAATCCCCAACTTTTTTGAGAAGACTCACGTGACTCCACAAAACAATTTGCATATGTGCAGAGGATGATATATACACACAGGCAATTACATCATTTGTTTCCTGCATCTCTCACTCATATAATATCACTGGGGAGTAGAATGCTTTAACCAACCCAGTGATCAGGATCCCCGTTTCCAAGGAAGAACAAGATTGTGTTGCCTGAGGATGCAGTGCAGGTTGGGGAGGGTGTGTGAGTGTAAGGGGTTGCACGAGAGCTGTGGTGTGAGTTTGGGAGGGTGCATGAGGGTGCAGCATGGGTTGGGTTTGGAAAGAATCAGGGAGGCTGTGATGTGAGTCAGGGAAGGTGGATGGAGGCGCGGTTCAGGTTGAGGACAATATGTGAGGGTGTGGCATAGGTGAGGAAGAGTGTGAGTGGGTGTGCAGTGCAGTTCAATAAGGACGTTGGGGTGTGTGAATGGTTGGTACATGGGTAAGGGAGACATATCTTAGTGACTTGTAACCTTCCCTACCTGCTTCCTCACTGACTTTCTGGGAAGCTAGCGGAGAAGTTTGCAAATGGCAATCACGTGATTGCAGGGCGCCACAACCAGTCATTAGTACAAACTGGTTGCCAAGCACATGTATTCCATTCATACGACCAAGAGATTGTTAGGATGGCCAGAGTTCTGAGGGCAATTCCTAACTACAATTCATTTGGCAGCATTGTAACTTAAAACTGTCAATGAGCAAATGGCCACAGGTCGAAACCTCTAGCTCTGTATGTGTCAGAGCCATATTTGCTTGTTCCATTACTGCATTCAGGAATCACTGGAGCTATTATTATATTAAGCAAGATGCTTGTGGTTTATCTGTTCAAAGTGGCCCAATCTCTCTAATCACTCTGTCAGATGTGCTGGCATCTTACAAAATTTTAAGGCAGCGGGATATACGGGAGCTCAGAGTCTATCAGTGATTATTTAGCTATGACTAAAGAGAGACATTACTCACCTGAACACCTGCAAATCCATGTTGGGTTAAGTACCTTTCACATTCAAGAGCAATGTCAACCCATCGCCATTCAAAAAGATGGACAATAGAGGTCCTGACAGGTTTGGGACTGGACTTGTACTGGATCCAGTAAAGTCCAAAAGCTCCCAAGAGAAACAGCAGCACAACATTCCTCATTTTCACTTTGCCACATAGTGTTATGTTCCTCAGTAGCCTTTTGCTTTCCTGTTGGAGAACATAGCACCTTTACCAATTATGCACTTTAAATTCTGGCTTATTGTCAACACCATGTTTAAAGCTGTATATTCTTCTTCTTCATCATCTTCATCATCATCATCACACAAAAAACTAAATATTAACAAGGCAGAAGACATTTTTGTTTCTTCACCAGGGTCAACAACCGAAGTTCAGAGAGAAATAACAAGCCTCTGTTGATATACTGGTCTCAACTACAGGCAGGGATAAAAACATATTTTATCAGGCGCATAGACATAGTCAAAATTAATTTAAAGAGAGGCTTAGGCATCCATCGCTAGAAGTACTGTACTCCTGTTGACCAAGAAAGGGAAAATAGCCATATTTCTAACATTCAAATTCCGATTGATGCTGTGCAATTTTTTCAATCACATACATCAATGTGACCTCAGCTTTTAAGGCTTTTAAGAAAGTCTTAAGTATTCCATAAATAGATAAATTGTTTTTGCAGGCAAATGCATCATAGTTAAAAATATTTTTTAACCTGGATTGATCACAAGTGACATTTGTCCCAATCCCTTTTCTAAATGTGGCCTTGGGAGACCTATAGTAGAAAAACCTGTCTTCCAGAAGAGCCCTTTTGCTTTCTAAAACTTTGAGCGGATCAAACCTGTTAACTAATTTTTTTTCTTTATATATACTGTACAACATATGACAGGTCAAATTGGGTTGCAAAAAGATGTGGACATTTATAAATTTTGGGCCTGTGTTGCAAGGGGGAAAGCTATTATTGTTGCAATATATTTGTCAGTGTTCAATTAAGGGGTAGAAAAAATACAGGTTTTTCTTTTTTGTCTTTTCAATTCACCTTTTTTGTGTGTGTTCTTAGCTGTGTTTTGTCTTTGTTATTTTTTTTTTCTTTTGCATTTTTGAATAAAATCAAAATTTAGGGAAAATTGGAAAAAATATTTATTAAATGTGTATGCCGCCCAACTCCTAACAACTCTGGATGGATCACAAAAGGTTACAAAAAAGGTAGAAGAAAACAGTAGACTGTGTTGTAACCCAAAATACAGCAGAGATGGCAAAGTTAAATAACTCAGATGAGAGGGGAAAAAAAGGAAAGTGGGTTTCAATCATGTTTCTCAAAGGCCTAGAGATGAAGAGCCACATCTTTAGGCCTCTTCAAAACAACATTAGGATGGGCGAGCCATTTGAATCTTGGTACAGTAATAAGTCTGACAGGGAGAATTTTGAAACAGGTACAATGGAAGGCATAACCATCCCAGCACAGGAGTCATTATTAAATGGCCTATTTCATAATTTCCATCATTTGCAGCTATTAAGATATATTTGCTGAGGAAACTGATGGAAGCTGTAGGCCACGGAGACCTAGTGGTCATTTTTTATAGAGTGAGGTTCAAATGGTCCACTTTGGAGATGCTGACCATTGTCATCCAAGATGGGAGTTGTATATGTATATATTTATATCCTGTCTTTATGGTTTTTATAAATAACTCAAGGCAGCAAAAACGTAATATTCTTTCCTCCTCCTATTTTCCCCACATCTGCAAGCTGTCAAATTTGGATAACATTTTGGACAGGATAGTTGGGAAATACAGATGGAACAATCCAGCATAGATTGATGGGAGCAAGAGACTAACATTGTCAGGTGCAAAAGATCTGGCCCACTCACGAAGGTCCAATTAAACTGATTTACTGCCACTCATGCCTATGCACAGGGAAATTCTCAACTAACAATACTTGCTTGGAGTTAGGTAAGAATGAATGGATTCAAGGGAGGTTGGACTTAGTTCACTTATGACTGCATAGGGATTCTAAGCTGATCTCTTTTTTAACTTCATCCCCCAGGTTTTACCAATCCTTCTCCTACACTCATTGTTCCTGTACCTTGATTTAAAAGAGATAAGTGCTGCCTGAGGATGCAGTTGTAGCATAGCTTTAAATAATAGCAATAAATAAATATATGAATAAATTCCTAAAATTAAATATTTAGCACTATTTGAAATCTAAAGCAGTCACTCAAACTTAAAGCTCCATTCCATTTTCATTTGAAAACATGGAATAATAATAATAATAATAATAATAAAATAATAAAGCTGCTCTAAAGTAACTAAATGGGGGACATCAGACCCACTTAAACACATTATTTAATAAACTATACATTCCACTGTTTTTTTTCTAAATCTGTCTATCTATGATATTCAACACCTTTGCAAAAAAAAACATCTTTAGCAGAGAACATTTAAATACGCAGCTAACAGATAGCCATTAGAATAGGAGGCATCATAGACAAGAAAACAAGTGTGATTCTGAAACAAGTAACAAAATTTAGAATCATTGCTAATTTATTAAAAGAGCAAAAGATGTCACTGCCTCTGCTTTGTGGAAGAGAATGTAATGAAATGATGAAATGCAACTTCTGATAAGGATACCGTGTTAAGGATTGGAAAAGACAGAGAAGAATGTAGCGGAGACAAGGGAGGTGGGGGGGTTTTGTTGTTGTTGCTGCTGTTCTGGTTTCCAGGAAACTGGAAGAGCCGACACTGAAAATTACAGCGCAACAGGTGCTGAAGAAGGTCCTGGAACAAAGTAGATGCTACATCTTTTTATTGCTGCAGATTGCAATTCAAGCTGGCTGCAGGAACCGTCAAGGGGATGGACTAATGGAGTGAGGGAGCTGCCAAGATTGTAATTATGTCCAGAGTGGAAGCGGGATGGAGAGAAAGAGTTTAGAAGAGAAAGATGGTAGAAATTGAAATGGATGAAAGAAAGAAAAAGGATACTTGGGTAACAGAGCCGGGGGGGGGGGGACAAAGAGGGTCAGATCCACCTGGACAAGCAGGTAGCAGCCATCACGTTTGTTCACTTTTGACATAATTCAAGAATGGGGGTAACAATTGTTCACTTTCTTTTATGTCTGCTTTGAAAACAGAAGGATAGGGCAGCTCCACAACCAAGAAATTGCTATCATGTTGCTTTCTGCTGTGAGAAGAGAATATTTGTAGCTCAAGGGTTGAACTGTGGAGTCCTTGGTGCTCTCTGAACTTGGCTGTTTGCTTGCAGACATTTCATTACCAACTTGGTAACATCATCCTGAACATCATATGAACATCATTCGTACTGTCTCTGCTAATGATAGGAAGCCTAGATGAACATTTTCAAGCTGAGAAAGGTAGTAGTAGAGTACTTCCAATTATCTTTTTTCCCCTCTCCCAAAGTTTCTCAATATTCTTTACCTTATATATTTCAACAGGACATGCACAAAAGATTGTTTTCTTTTTGGCATGTATTTCATTGTTCATGGGATTTTTCTGAAAAGCAAGTAGCTGGGATCACTCAGGAAGCTTTGCAAGAAGTGTGAATAACCAAACTAGAAACTATATTTACTTTTCTGCCAATCCAAAAAGAGCCATCCAGCTTTCCAGAGACCTCACTTCAGCTGAATATGAACACAATTTTCACAGAACTGTATATTCGAACTCACTAAGCATCACCTGCACAACATCCCATGGATAACTTACACTTTTGAGGAACTCTACAAAACTCTTGGGGGTTGAAACTTACCAACTCCAAGAAATGTAAAAACTATGTAATAATCTTATATCTGAGAGATCTCCCATGATAAAACACATCTCTGGGCAAATGATTCCACAAGGTTTCCCCATGGCAACTCATTACATTTAATTATGCATCTAAGAAGCCGAGCTCTAGCTGTGCTGTCAACAGAAGATCCCCAAGAGAACACAACCTTATTTGGTCCTTCTCCCTTGGCAGTTTTATTAACCTCAATATACAGTAGTAATTGACTGTACTGTTCTCTATTCTTGGATGATCTTTTCAAGTTTCCAGAATCCTATTTTTTCTGAGTTCTAAAAACAGATCCTTTGCTCTTCCAACCAATGCCCAATCAGAACCAGGCTATCTGCTTGAGCACGTTCCTGGAATTTGAACTTGTAATTCCTCTCCTAAGCCAACACCCTCAATTGTAGATATCAAGGATGTAAGTAATCCTTTTTACAGGAGGGGCTGCATTCAGTAAGAGGACAATGCTAAAAAAAGAGGTTCAGAGAAAAAAAAGGCACTGTGTAAATTAATTTTAGTTAAAATGAATGGCCACTCAGTTGTTTTTCAGAAGTCCCAATGGAAAGCATGGAATTCAACTTAAGCATCAAGAGAGGCACTCTAGAAAGAAGAAGAAAAATGATTATTTGAAAGGAAAATAAACCACTGACTCACAGAATGCAAAGGTTAGGAGGGATTTTCTGACTTGCAAGATTCTGTTATTGTAACCTTACAACAAAGACAGAGCTAGTATTTATTGTTGTGCTTCTTGTCTGGATTTTCTCAATGGGCTAACAGTAGGTCAAAATAATTTGAACTGCATCTTAGTATCAAAGCTAATTCATTGGTTAGTAGACCCCAATTTGCTACTTTTCTATTGTAGGTCTGAGAAGCTGCTGGATCTGAGAGGGGAGGGTACTTCTGTTTTATTCTTTTTTTTTAATGGATTGTTATGAGCCTCTTAGAATCATTATTTGAGATATGGGTCGTATAGAGGTCCTGCAAATAAATAAATAAATAATCTCCAGTTGGGCCCTGCTGCAGCATTTATGACAATGTAATTTGGGACAGCAATGATTTTGGATTCCATCCGCATTGCCTCTTTAGGTTTCCAGAACTGGAGTGTGGGCTGGAATGTGAAACGTATTCTCTGGCTAAGGACTAGGGATAGGTTAAACTTGGCATGTTTGTGAACTGCAGTGTATGGGGTAGGTGGATTGGTTAAGAAATGGTGCAACATCTATGAACTTCTCTTAGAACAAGTATTGCTGACTTGGGAAGACCAGATTCTCTAAAACCTAACAAACATCTATTTTGCAAAGAAGGTGGACTAGGGAGGTTGGTGCCCGAAATGGAATTCGTCAGCGAAAGTGCAATACTCACAAGAAACACAGAGCTTTAGTCCTTTCGCTGTTATTCTCCCTTGATTCTAAAGTATTTCTTTTGGAGCAATTGTTTAAGTAGAAAAGACTGAAGCTTTGAGAAGCAGATTGTAGAATAGAATATCTTTATTGTCATTGTGTCACTCACAACAAAATTAAGTATCATTTGTATAAAAGGGAACAGGCCTCATCCTTGGGATTTTAGGGGAATGGTCATACAGGTAGTCCTCAACTTACAACCACAAACGGGTCTAGAATTTCCATTGCTAAGCCAGGCAGTTGTTAAGTGAGTTGCATTCAATTTTACAATCTTTTTTTGCTACAGTTGTTACATGAATCACTACAGTTGCTCAGTGAACCATACAGTCATTAAGTGAATCCAGGTTCCCTTATCTTTTCTTGCTAGTAGCCAACTGGGAAGGCTGCAAATGGCGATCCCATGACTCCAGGTGGCTGCAGCATTCAAAATACATGCCAGTTGCCGAGCGCCCAAATTTCAATCATGTGACCATTGGAATGCTATGATGGTTGTAAGTGCAAGGGCTACTACTAAGTCACTTTTTTCAGTGTGATGGTTAATTATGAATGATTGCTAAACACATGGTTGTAAATTGAGAACTACCTGTACAACAGCTTCAATTTACATTCTTGCTTGGGCAAGTCACTGAGAGAACCTGCACATTTATTATATCACCTATCCCCACAGCTTCACAGCCAAGCCTGATTGGAAGAAAACCTTTCTACGTTAATACTACTCATCAGCAAATGTTCTTCTATCCTTCAGACTTTAGAGCAGGGCTTTTCAAACTTGGCCTTTTTATGACTTGTGGACTTCAACTCCCAGAATTCCACAGCCAGGCATGTTGGCTGAGGAATTCTGGGAGTTGAAGTCCACAAGTCATAAAAGGGCCAAGTTTGAAGAGCCCTGCTCTACTATACTCATCTTTATTTTTAAAAAAGTCAAAAACAACCCAAAGAAATTTTTCACCAGTATGCCCCTTAAGGAGCCCAAGAGCACTGCACTCCAGCGTTCATTGTAGCACATCTAAGTTTTACATGTCTGTTAAAAGTTGAAACAGGCAGTTTTTGTACACGTGAAATCTTTCCATAAACTGTACAGGTGAACTGGAGTTCATCTATTGCTGTTCAGTTCTTATAGAAGACAGAACTGTTAAAACATTGCTTTGAGATTGGCAGTAGAGTAAGACATTCTAAAACGTTATGACACTAGAAAGCAAAAACTCAAAATCTCTCATATTAAAAAAAATCCACATAACTTCCATTTTTTAAAAAAATAATAATATAGTTTTGGCTTGTCAATAAGAAATTAGAGGAAAATACAGAGGATTTGCATTTGTAAATGGTTCCTATTCAGCCAGATACTTGCAAAAAATATGTTCTGTACTTCTTTACCTCATAGCTGTATGATGCACTGAACAGTCTCATGCTGGTACTTTAAAAAAAAACATACTACTACTGCTTTAGAAGAAGAAACTCAGAAGAGTAAAGGAGTTTGATTGGGAAAGTCGATCTGATCTTTTCCTCAAGTATCTGTTACACTATAAAGTACCCTAGTACCATATTGTCTAAGTTGTCAGACAGCTACCATATGCTATCACTGTATTTCATGATCATAACTGGAAGCAGAGCTATTTGGAAGGAATAAATGTGACACAGACCCGTTTTCAGTGAGGAAATCAAGTTTTGGAACAGCAGTAAATCCAGCCAAACAGTGGCAGAACAGGAGTCTGCAAACTGCTCAGTGATCTCTGTCCTCTGTAAATCTGAATCAACTCAGTTCAGAATGATTTTCCCTACAAGATTAAGTTGTGTTTTATACTTTCCCACAGGATGTTGAAAGCTACTTGCTGAATTAAGCGGAGAAGGAACATTTTTGAGGAATCGGAAAACATTTCTGGGCATTTGGAATAGATATCACATTAAGGTAGCAATTAAGTCCAAGAACATTACTGGCCCAAGGATAAAAGTTGTTATCTTTTCTATCCTTGTCTCTTGGGTCCTTGGTAGTTACACGGTGAGGATTCACAGGACTCCATTCTGTTCCCAGTAGAGGTAATTCTCAACTTGCAACCCTAATGGAGTTCAGAATTTTGTCATATATCATGATGGTCCTAAGTTGAGGCACCCATATGACTAATCCAATTTTATGACATTTCTTAATGGACGTATCAGTTGTAAAGTGAATGATGCACTTGTTAAGCAAACTCATTGTCCACAATGGGCATGTTGGGTTTTTTCGCCAGAAACCAGAAAAAAATGCTAATTTTCAGCAAAAAAAAAAAATCGTATACCAAAGTCATGCGATTATAGGACATTGCAAACGGCCATAAATGTGGGCCAGGTACCAAGCATCCAAAATGCAATCAAGTGACCAGTGGAGGACAGCAAGCCACCAGAATTCTGAATTTGGGTTAAGTATTTTTGGGGGGACCTTCATACCTTTGGTCACTAAGCAGCTGGTCTTAAGTCAAGGATTACCTGTACAACTTAATATCTGTTATGAAGTTATTCAGAGGGGCCACCAAGACTGTAGGAAATTGACATCAGTATGATTGATAGTACCTGTACTCCTCCATATAATGAGAATTAGTAAAAGCTGTGTGGGATCTGGACTAATAGTTTGTAAGCATTAACTAAATCCCGACAAGACAGAATTATTAAGGATAAGTAGTCCTCTTATCCAGGAATCAGGGAGTTATTTACAAATAACCCTGACCACAATTGAAACCAACAATTCTATGTTTTCCGATTTTACTGCGAGCTTCTCTATTGACTCTGCTTATTGAAAGCTGGCAGTGAAGAACACAATTGGTGGTTATGTGACTGTGAGGCAGTCATAAATATAAAATCATAAAATTATTTTTTCAGTTCCTTCATAATTTTGAACCATTTGGGGACCCCAGAAAAGATCCTAGGAGACCCCAGTGGCCTAAGATCACCCTTTAAGAAACACTGGCTTAGGGGCAATGTGTCATTCCCAATCCCAGAGAAGAAAACACACACAGACACACAGGTGCTCCTTCAAACACCGGGAGATGCACCTCCACACACCTTCAACATTACCTTTATCTTGGGCTTTAAATATGAGTAAGCGCGTCGAATTCTCTTGCCTAGGAATTGACATGGGAGCAAATGCAGACCTGCCTGGGCCATCTAGGGCGGAGGACAGTCAATTCTGCAAAAAAAGAAAACACACAACCTTTCCCCCCCCCCCAACCATTTCCGGGCTGCAAACTTCCGGACTATCCCTAGCTTTGCTGCCATCTAGCCGTCGTCCGGGCTTTTTTCAGCACTCCGAAACCTGGGCATCGTTCTAAAACGTGCTTACTCCACCTTGGGAAGAAGGTTTAGGAAAGCCTTTCTCGCTTTCAGAACTGTCGCTCTCTTTGCTCTGCAGCCACATAAACCGGCCACTTTAACTGCGGGCTTTGACAGACCGTTAACTTTAGCTCTTACAGCTTATTCAATTTCTACGCTGCCGATTACTCCCAAAATAAAATTGGTTCATTTTATTGAAACGCGCCCGCCTCAAAAAAAAAAAAAAAAAAAAAAAGCAGGCCCGACTCGTCTTTTGAGGAAAGCGTAGCGGAATGCATCGTGAAGCACCTGCATACGGCTCAGCTGTTTTAATCCGCCCTTTGTTGCTCCTCTTTTGCTCTCCGGCTGCCCGTCAACTTAGTCTTACACCAGTCCTTGAAAGGAGAAAGAATGGCGTCCCTTTCCTGCGCCGGGTTTCTCCGACTTAAAATGCCCTATTCTCCACCTACAGCCCTTCCTAAACCGTCAGAAAGCATAAACATTTGACTACTGCCCTCTCGTGTCCACAATGCAGCCAACCACTCACCGACTCCTCGTTGCCATTAATGATTTTGCAACCGTAGCCGCCCGCACTTAACCTCCTTGTAAATACTGCAAAAGTATTTACATTTTGACTCGCCCATCATCCCGACTTCCATCGCACAAACCTATTTTCCAGGCGTTACAGGTCCACAAAAGAGTCATGGGCTGAAATTAAACGTCATTGACACATTTTAAAAAAAGCATGGACTTTGCAAGCTTCGCTGTTTGAACAGAATCCCTAAAGAGAAAAATCGAACGAGCAAGTAGAAACTGAAAAGCTAATCGGGATGAGTTGGGCAAGTATATCATATCTTATACGATTTGTACAATGATGCGGATTTCTGCAAACTTGATAGCTTGGGTTAAGCCCATTCCTAAGGACTATCACAATGCAAAAGTTGATTCCTGGCAAGACGCCACCACCTGAATCCTACTGATGTATGCATATAAAATTAGGTTGGTGTTTTCTTGTTTTAAAGTATGCCTCACTTTGCTTGCAAGCTTGCATTGAACTATTTTTCCACTTTTCCTCAGAATCAAGTTAATCTGTATCCACAAGTCTTCAATGTGGCAAATTCATACAAAAATCACAATCCCTGCTATGGGAAGGTCATTTTAAATTCTCTTCCAACTCCTACTTTCATAACCATAAAAAGGAAATTGTCCTGATTTTTTTAAAAAATATATTTTTTAAAAAAAGTTTTAATTAGCCCAGTGTCAAATTAAGGAATCCTCGCATTATAGCCTTTTATCCGATTTCTTGTGTGAATTCAGTGACTTCAACATTTCCCATTCTAGTGATCTCCAGATGTTTTGAGACAATCCCTTTCAAATTCCCAAACTGTTATAGCAGCACTGTGAACTTTTAACTGCCAGCAAGTCTGTAACTGTTACCCAGGTGATTAGAATAAATTTTCAAAAATCCTTCTAATCACATGATGCTCAGTTTAGAAGCTGCAAGTACTGGAGCTGTGCTGGAGTAATGGTTGGACACCAGCATTTGTGATAATTTAATAGGTGGGGGATTTAGGTTTTCTCTGGAGGACTGCAGTCATCTTTATTTGCTTGCCAATCTGCTAATTCTGTAATGTCAAAGGCTGAAACATGAGACTCATTTGTCAACCTGGCTTGGCTTGTTTTAAATCTCCATTGTATTTTCTCTTGCATGCTGGATGTTATTTTTTGAGAGATGACAGGAGTATGAAGCTGAACTTTAAATGTCGGTGCAATCTTAATTTGGAAAGGTCTTTCCTAGGCCCTTTTAATACCATGTATTTTCTCTGCACATGGTATCATGGAAGGAACAATTGAAGACAGGCATCCTGCTTTTCTTCCAATTGGGACTTTGGCCTCACTTGGCACACCTGCCAGTCTTCCACTACAAAAATTTATTGGCATTGTCTGAAAAAATTTGCTCCCTGAAATAGTGATTTTGACTCCTTGACTTCACTGTAGCATTAAATTTGTGCTCTCCTTGAATAAAATTGGGGTACAATTGGGAGTGGGTGGATGTCAGAGATCCAGAGAGAAAAATCTGATGTGGCCATCTGCCATTTCTTTGTTGATGTCCATGATGGAACAGGCTCTGTTCCCTAGTGCATTTCCACAAGATGAGAATTAGTGGTCCTTTTGTTAGTGACCTTGATATCTGGGGAAAGATGGGCATTATGGTGCTTGGTTCCCTCTATCCTCTCAATTGGAGGACACCAGGTTGGGAAGAGACTTTGGTAGTCTCAGTGCAAGTTAAAAACACATTCTCCCCTCAGCTCTTTCAATTTGCACTGCTGACTGCAGGGTAGGAAAAATTATCTTTGTAAGATCATGATCAGAATTGGATCCACCTAATACCAGTTTTCCTTATCAGATCTATAAGCATAGCAGTGTTTATTGTTCCTGGAAATCTTTTTTCATAATCAAAAGGCACCTGAACAATCTTTTAGCAACTCTTTGGATTAGGCCAGGGCCAGCCATTTCCCTTTTTGAATCTCCTGAAGCTTTTCTCACCATTACGAATCTTGATGACATTTTGTTTGTTCTCCAACTTGTTTTGATGGAGTAACTCTCTGCTTCATCTCCATCCATTGCTGGAAGCTCTGAAGAACTGTAGATAGGGACAAGCAAGTCTACCCTGCAGCTCTCCCACCCACCCGCATCCCAGTTTTTTGCTAATCTCTTTGAATCCTTGGAAACCAGAATCCTCACCCCCAGATCAGAGCAGAGCAGAGCATAGGCCTGTGGCCTATCAGGGTTATCCAGTGAACTGGGCTTGGGCCCCAAGATGATTGCTGGAATGCTTAATTAACCCTGTTTAATAGCTTAACAGGGTAAAGAACTGATGCTGAGTCAAGTCCCTTTTCCTTTTGATCCTCTTCCTTTATGCTGATATGGTAAAGGGTGGACACTTTTGAATGAACCTTTATTTTCAAAGTACCTTTATTTTCAAAGTATAACATGTATACAGTGAGATTGGCTGAGCCTCCCTCCGTGCCCCCCCCACAACTCACAGTGACTACAAACCCCCAACTTATTACACCCTGTGAGCTAATTGCACAGCACGCTGGCCTCACAAGTCTGTCATGCATGAAATTATTATGTCCCATTCAAGAGCCCATGGATAAAAGCTGCTCTTCAGCCTGTTGGTACGGCTGGCTATGTTTTTGTATCTCCTACCAGATGGTAGGAGAGTAAAGAGGTACCAACCAGGGTGTGAGTCATTGGTACCTCTTGACGATGCAAGAAAAAGGAGCAAAGTGGGAGAACAGCACTTCCAGCAGCAACCCCCAGTTCCCACAAAAGGAAATTACGCATCAGGGTACAGCTCATTTTAACTCTTCTCTTTTTCCACTCCCCAAGTCAATAAACACCCTTTCTATGAACTTTCCAAGATAAAGTTCAGATACCCCTTTGGATATTTTGTTCCTAGGGACTATCATTTTCTGGTTTGATGTCAGACAAAAGAAAAAATGTGCTTTAGTGAACCCATTAATAACAATGCAAAACAGAATATTTTATTAGAGCTTTAAGTAAAGCATTTTCCACAAGTGCTATGTGAACCATTGGAAGAGTTTTGTTTAAAAAGACAGATGCACCTAAAATTACCAGAATGTTGTATGGTATTTTGCGTACTTTTACATACTATTCAACAGTTCTGCTACCATGCATCTTCTTCCCAGAGCTCGAACACACTTGAAAGACATGGAACTCAAAAACGCACCTGGAATAATTTAAAAATGCGTTAAACACCCATATATTATTCAACAGAAAAGACTTCATTTTTTTTTTAAAAAAAAAGCCAAGCTAAGACTTGAACCCATACTTTCCATTGGGTGAAATTTTACTGAGCAGGATAATCCCACTGGAGAAAAGGAGAAAAATTGTGATTTGTTCCCCTTGCAAATCTGCTCCTGAAAATTGGGAGACTCTCCCCACGGGGCAAGTAGTAGTCTAAGGGCCAGAACTATCTCCTCCTTCCTAAGTATCCTCTAGCTTACAGTTCTTTTTATTCAAGGAAGAAGTCCTTCTATTTGTTGGAAGGCCAGCTAGTCTTTAAGGCCAGTTGAATCCAACGGTCTTTAAGTACTATTATGCTTTACTCTGTTTCATATAGAACAAAATTGTAAACAAGATGGGCCATTTTTATGTTTCATAGTGTACACCACCAACCTACTGAAAGGGGTGGCCACAGAAATCAAAGAAATTAAAAAAATACATGATAGTAACAGCTGAGTTGTAGATCAGAAGAAGCACATAACTACATACAAAGAGTTCATTTTTCTCCCTGGACCCCCATGATATTGGAAGTCAATATTCTCTAATGTAATTTCAGTGCAGTGGTTACTTCAGTCCAGGCCATCAGTTAGTATACAATACAGCATTTAAGCTCTACCAACGTAAGCAGAGCACTTACACTTACTGAAGGCCTGGCCACCATAATTGGGATTTTAAAAGGCACATTTAAAGGCTAGAAAAACCTATGGATGCCCTGTTAAATGAAAGAAGAGTTACTATTTCAGCCTGTACTACTACAGTTTGTCTACTTCAGTGCTAGAAAATAAGGCTTTTCCAGAATAAAAAGATTCAAAAAAAGGATACAACAAGAAAGGATACACTTTTCATGACACAGTATTATTGCAGTATTTACGCAGGAATGTTTCTAAAGAAGAACAGCAGAATGTGGTTTAATCCTTTTATTCTCTGTTGTTTTTTTTCATTTAGACTACCAATTTTGAAATACTGATCATTATTTAAAAATTTGTAACCAAATATAACCTAAAGAAATGGGCACAATATCTGAAATCTACAACATTTTACGCTACCTGACATAGTTTTTTTTGAAAAAAGCCACTATGTCAATTTTGTTAAGTTTTCTCACTTTTTGTCCTGTTTTCTATGGTGACAATCTTTGGCAGAAGCTAAGCAATGTACATCTAGAACACGTAACTATGATCCAATCTAAATGCTGCTTACACAGCTACATTAAATATATTTGTTCAAAATATATCCAGTGAAATTACATAGCAGGAAGCCATTCTTGTCACAACAGCATTCATAAACTACTCTGTACTTTTTCAGCGTAAACCCAGAGATAAAATTGGGAAAAAAGAGCCATTTTCATAATATACATTTCCCTTGACTCCACTTAAACGTATACCTTTCGAATTTGCTATAGACACTATAAGCATAGCACCACATGCAGGCACGATAAAAAAATGTATTCATTAAGGTTACCTATAAGGATTATTTTAGTAATAAAGGGTATAAGCCTTTTCTATCAAAAAAAAGGATGAGACTGACAATTAATGGAATTAATTCAATTAATGGAAGATTATTTAAATTTCGAGACCTAATGATCTCATGAGAATGGAACACATATTTAATGAAAGTGTATGTGTTATGTGGTGCTTATGAGCACTGCCCTAACCTATGAATTTATAAATGGCTTCAGTCAACAAGCTTGGCTTTTTTTCCTGCAAGAGCTGGGTGAGTTTCTGTCTTTTTGAAATGGAACTAAAAGACATAATGCTCTGCTTTTTCTGCAGACTTATAGAGCTAGCCAAGGTTGTTGAAGCAGCTTACTTCATCACTGCTCAGCTGTTACCTAAAAAATCTGGCAGTAGGGAAGCTGGAAAATGCAGGTTTAATCCTTGTACTCTGAATTCTTCATAATTTGAGAACCGATTGAGCAGCAACAAGCAGAACACATATTATTTTATTGTTAGTTTTCTATTTCACCGTCAAATATGCTCAAAGCATTCCCTCCTCCAATTTTTGCCCAAATTGCCTACAATCAATTTGAGAATAAGTGACTGAATCAAGATCACCTGTGAATTTCCATAACTGAGGATAGACTTTAAAGCTGAGTTTCACTGATCCTAGGTGAACATCTTAACCACTTGAAAGAGGAAGCAGTATGTGAACATTAATGATTGTGTGTGCTTACAAAAGGGGTTTATCAGGAAGAAAACTTCTAAATTTGGCCCCCTGCACTTTTGACATACAATGAATTTAAAGGAGTGTTCTACCCTATCTGAGATGAAAAAATCTGAAATTCTTTACTAATTATTACTTTTGAGATCCATAAAAATAATTTATCCTAAAATTTTTGAACAAAAGTTTAAAAATTGTTATCAGAATGTTTAATTAGCTAAGATATACTATACATATGTAAAATAGTACTAGCGGCTTTACGGATGAAAGCACTCTAGCTAAGCCAAGTGGAAAAAACTCTGGGCTCTGACATCATTACCCATTATCTGTGAAATCTCAGCATTAAGGATATTAAAAACATTAAAGAGAAATGGCTACAATTTCAGGAAATACTAAAAACATGAAAGATTAGAGGTGAGGGGTGAAATCTCATGAGATTTTGATCATTTTTAAAATAGTTATTTACATTTAGGTATCCACATCATAGAACAATATCATGTGACAGTATCTGATGCTGAAACATTTGCTATTTCCAAGGTTCAAATTAATCTTAAATTTAACAATCAAGAATGACTGGTGTTCTCATCCAAGCTAATTAATAAGCTAAGAAGACAGTCCCTGCTTGCTGATATGCATCTAGATCAGGGGTCCTCAACCCCTGGTCCGTGGAGTGACACCGGGCCACACAAACAAATGAAGCCCCATCTGCTGGATGCAGGCAGCACACAAAGCCACGCCCCCTCTGGTCCATGGAAAAATCTTTCTCCAAAGAATCGGTCCCTGGTGCGAAAGGTTGGAGGCCTCTGATCTAGATGCTCTGATTCATTTGGGCCAGTCACTCTCTCTTAGCCCAATTCACCTCCCAAGATAGTTGTAGGAAAAATAGGAGGAAGGAGTATTATGTTTGCTGCCTTGAATTATTTACAAAGTAATAAAAGTGGGATTTTAAAAAATCTAATAAATAAATGTGCATCCAGTGTAGCTAGATGTGGCATTTGATGTGATTGGATGATGCCTAGAGATTCGGTATCCAGGATCTCAGGATTGTTGCAAACATAAATAATATAAATGAAACACCAAACCATTTAAGCTTTTAAACAAATACAAAGTTATTAAAGGACTTTGCCTAGTAATGAAAAGTCAGACTAACCTTTCTGTGACAAAACTCTAAACGAGTTCCTCTACCATTTAATTGAGAATAGAGCTAGATATTTCACAGTTCAGGAAGACTAGTCAAAATCACACATTACAAATGGATTCATTCAAGGCTGATTTTCATTTGTGATATATGTCACTTAAAAAAAACACTATAAAAGTTTGCAAACAAGCACCCAATAGATAGAAAAATGTATTGATTCACCAGAAATCAACATTGTTTAAATAAAACTTAAGATCTTGGCCTAAGTATCACTTTGGATAAACTGTATCTGAATGTACCGCTTCAAATTCTACAGCAGGTATATGCAAAACTCACTTCCTAGGACAAAATATTCCGATTTTTCATAAGAACACTTATCTTCCAAAGTGCGCCAATCCACCACTCATGTATTTTCCCAGTGAGAACTCACTTCCTATTCCTGGGACAAGGAGTTTTGTATACAGCTACTCAGCACATAACATTCATAATGTTCCTTTATGGGGGGGAGAAAAATCTACCCATAGAAATTTATCAATGGAAAAAAGTCCAATCAGCTTT